TGCTCTGGGGATGGAGGCTCCAGGCAGGTCAGGGGTGAGCTCAGCCCCAGGACCAGGCACATCCTCACCCCTGTGTGGTCACAGCCAGCCCAGGGTACAGGACCAGCCCAGGGAGCAGGAACGGCCCAGGGTACAGGACCAGCCCACAGAGCAGGACCAGCCCAGGGTACAGGACCAGCCCAGGGTACAGGACCAGCCCAGGGAGCAGGACCAGCCCAGGGAGCAGGACCAGCCCAGGGTACAGGACCAGCCCAGGGTACAGGACCAGCCCACAGAGCAGGACCAGCCCAGGGAACAGGACCAGCCCAGGGTACAGGACCAGCCCAGGGTACAGGACCAGCCCAGGGAGCAGGACCAGCCCAGGGAACAGGACCAGCCCAGGGTACAGGATCAGCCCACAGAGCAGGACCAGCCCAGGAGCAGCTGAACACTGGAACAAACCCCACAGCTCAGCCTGGCAGCCCCAGAGCAGGGCAGGAATCCTCCAGGCTGTGCCCAGGAGCTCTGCCATGGCTCCTGCCTGCAGCACAGCACTCCTGGGGCTGGCACCCCCAGCACAGCACAGAGAAGCAGTCAGCAGACACAGAGCTTGCCCAGACCCATACTTACATTCCCACCTCCAGGGACATGCTTAATATTGTCCTTGGAACCACACTTGGACTGAACATGGCTGTAGTTCGCTTTTTTGGAGACTATCTGGACCTGGAACGTCACAGAACGGAGACAACACAAGGGAAGAGGACTGGTTAGAGATGGCATTCTGCAGGGCACCCGGGCTCCTGGGCACCAGGGACCCTGAGGAGCTGGGCCCAGAGCTGGGGAAGGCACCAAGGAGAGAGTGAGAGACAGTGAAGGACAGGAGGCTGCACAGACAGTGTTAGTGCCAGGCTGGGAGTGCCCAGGGACCCTGCAGAGCCCTGGGGTGGGGTGGGCTGGGGCTGCCCAGGGCCTGGAAACCCCCTGGAGCAGGGAGACAGCCCAGAGGGGTGGGATGGGACTGCCCATGACCATGGAAACCTTCCTAGGGCAGGCACAGCCAGCACAGAGGGGTGGGCTGGGGCTGCCCAGGGCATGGAAACCTCCCTCGGGCACTGAGAGCCAGCCCAGAGGGGTGGGATGGGACTGTCCATGACCCTGGAAACCTCCCTGGGGCACTGAGAGCCAGCCCAGAGGGGTGGGATGGGACTGCCCAAGGCATGGAAAACCCCCTGGAGCAGGTCCAGCCAGCCCAGAGGGGTGGGATGGGACTGCCCATGACCCTGGAAACCTCCCTAGGGCAGGGAGAGCCAGCCCAGAGGGGTGGGATGGGGCTGCCCAGGGCACAGAAACCCCTCTGGAGCAGGGAGAGCCAGGTGGGATGGGACTGTCCATGGCCCAGGAGGCTCCTGGGAGGTTTCCAGTGCCAGCTGGCCAGAGCAGGGAGAGGCAGCCCTGGGAGCCAGCACTCCCAGCACGCTGTCAGCTGCTCCATGCCCACAGCTGGGCTGGCTCCAGCCATGGACAATGTCCCTCCACAGCCCTGGGCAATACAGCTGGCTCTGAGGAACATTCTGCTACTGAAGGTGGTCACACCTTCAGCTGAATGGCCTCAGATGAGTCTCAGGTTAATGAAATTGTTTCTCCTTCACACTGACTCAGATGAAGGGCGTGAGAATGTGGTTGGAGGCGGTTTGGCAGTGCTGGGGATGGCTGGACTCCATGATCTCACAGGGCTTCTCCAGCCTCGGTGAGTGTGTGATTTTTAAGGCAAGAGGAGAGGTTTGGGTGAGCTCTGCTCACAGCAGTAGCTGGGTTAGACACCAGTGTTCACAGAGGTTAGTTACAACACAGGTTTAGTCTGGAGCTGAGTTATTCACCACAGCACAAGCAGGCCCCAGCTGGATCCTGGCTCCCACACGGTGACAAGCTTGGAGCACAGCAGGGATCACCCAACACTCTCAGCTGGGCAGGCTCCCAGAGCTCCTCAGCCAGGTCAGAAAGGCTGGGAACAGCAACAGCAGCTCTGGGAACACACCTGTGCCATGGAGGTTGGGCTGCTTCACTGACTCCCTACAGGTACAAACCCTGCTCATTCCTGACCATTCCTGCCTGGTAATACTGGAATTAATCTGTGGCACTCCCACCTCACGCCATCCACCTGGACTTTGGAGTAACCCATCCAGTGGTGATGGCCTAAGGCTTGGAGTTACAGAGTTTTGGTACAACTGGGCTGGGAGTATTGCAGGGAAGAAGTGAATTCCTACATACTGTGCACTCCTAAAAGGAGCAGCTGTGAACTCAACCCCTCTGCCTCGTTACAAACTGGTTCTGTGTGTGAAGAACTGGTTTAAGGGAAGCCCTCTGACTCCAAGTTAAGCCTGTATTAACCTGGCAGTGAAACAGGAGGACTCTGCTCTGCAAACCTCTCCAGCAGCAGCGGAGAGGGTCCCTCCCTGGAGGAGCTTCCCTGGGAACGTCTCAGGGTGCAGGGGAGAGAAGGGGAGGTGTCTGTGCAAGGACAGTGCCACTGACAGGAGAGAGCAGGACAGCTGGAGAGGAGGGACAGTGACTCAAAATGGAAACGTTTTCCTTCATCTCCCCCAGAGAAAAGTGTGAAAGCAACTCACTTTCCCATTGGGCTGTTTGGGGACCCCCTCTTTTGCTGCCACTTTAGGAGCCACCTTAGAGCCCGCGCTGGGCTCAGAGCTGGGCGCGGCGCCGGCTGACTCTGGCCTTTTCTCTACCTTCCCCTGGATGGAGACAAAGGGATGATTTCACCAGCAAAGGCACAACTTGGGCAGGAGCACGGGAACACAAGAGCTGCTGCACAGAGACCCATGAGCACTCCCTGCCTGCTCGGACTCCNTGCCTGGGTCATACAGAACTGCCTCAGTCACACAGAACTGCCTCGGACATACAGAACTGCCTGGGTCATACAGAACTGCCTCAGTCACACAGAACGGCCTCAGACACACAGAACTGCCTCGGTCAGAACTGCCTCAGTCACACAGAACTGCCTCAGTCACACAGAGCTGCCTCAGTCAGAACTGCCTCGGTCAGAACTGCCTCAGTCACACAGAACGGCCTCAGACACACAGAACTGCCTCAGTCAGAACTGCCTCAGTCACACAGAACTGCCTGAGACACACAGAACTGCCTCGGACATACAGAACTGCCTGGGTCATACAGAACTGCCTCAGCCACACAGAACTGCCTCAGTCACACAGAGCTGCCTGAGACACACAGAACTGCCTCAGTCAGAACTGCCTCAGTCACACAGAACTGCCTCGGACACACAGAACTGCCTCAGTCACACAGAACTGCCTTGGACACACAGAACTGCCTCAGTAACACAGAACTGCCTCAGTCACACAGAACTGCCTCAGTCAGAACTGCCCCAGACACACAGAACTGCCCCAGACACACAGAACTGCCTCGGTCAGAACTGCCTCAGTCACATAGAACTGCCTCAGTCACACAGAACTGCCTCAGTCACACAGAACTGCCTCAGTCAGAACTGCCTCAGTAACACAGAACTGCCTCAGTCACACAGAA